TTAGATTATTACTAGTAAACAAACTTAACTTACATACAGCAACTTCAGGTGAACAAATATCAAAATAAAATTATGAAAATGGATAAAACAAATGGACCACTTTGATGATGTATCGCCATGTCAAATTTTTTTTGGTATTTTTCATGTAAACAAAACACCACCTCCATGGATCAATCTATCATTTAAAATTTAGTAAGTAAAATATGGAAAGTTTCAAAGAATTTGTTGCAAACACATGGAAATGTGGAACCCTAAACTTGCCAACCCTGTCATACATTTCTTTGTAAAAATTAGTAAGTTTGGGGCTCATTATTTCCATGTGTTTGCAATGAATTCCTATGAAACTTAACATGTTTACTATACTTGGCGTGATAAATCAAGTGGTAAATCTTCAGGGTTATTTTGTCTTTGAATGAAAAAATTTGTTCACTGCAAGCATGACATCATCAAAGTTGGCTATTTAACACTCACTTGGATGTAAACAGAGCCATACTCTGGTTGACGGTAAGCAAAATAATCTGGTGCAGCCGCAAAGGACAGCAGGAAGTCGCACTCTTGTGGGCAAAGATTTCTTGCAAGGGTTGAATCACAGGTAGATCTAGGCAAGCGACTGTCACAGTGATGATTAGTAGCCCCAGGAGACAAAAATTCACTTGATGACCCTCTGCAACTCTGGATGAAAAACAGTTTAGGTTTGCCACGGAGTGTCACACAGTTGATAGCTTTGAATTCCCTCATTATGTCTTCAATACGTACAGGCCTATCATCCACACCGAAAACAACATCACCTTTACCTCCATGCGACAAGATGATAAAGGCAAAAGCATCAAATTTGCTATGATCTTCGGCTGCAGCATCTCTAGACACTTTGTGTATTTCTTCCCAAGTTAAATCTTTTTCGATTTTCACAGCAAACCCGAGTTCCTCAAAGAGATCTCTCAGGCTTTTTTCATCATGTTCAGTACCATTACGAGTGTGAGTTTCACCTTGGAAGTTTGCATTATTTATGATGACACACTTTCCAAGAGGGCAGCTGTTCATTTTATAACTCTGCAGTTCGGGATTTTCTAAACACAAGAACAAAAATTTTGCTCAAGTCTACATTGCAATTGAATGGAAGTTCACCAAAAGCTTTTACATTGCTCCAAGTATAAAGTTACACAGTCATGCAGTTGTACAGATGAAACCAAAATGTGTTGGGAACAAGGAAGTGGCCACAACAGGGGCGTAGTGTGCATTTTTCATGGAGTACACATCAAAGAGAAAGTTAATCATGTGTTGAAAGCCCTAGCCGCTAGTGGAGTTTGGGGGCATGCCCCAAAGGAGAGTTTAGAGACCATCAAAATCTGCCAATTTAATTATTTTTAATTAAAGATGCATTTTGCCAATAAATAATTATATATTAAATAAGTTGTTTACTGGATTTCCAGAGTTACGCATATATGTTTGTAGTTGCTACGCCCCTGAATACGATGAAATCAAGTGGGTTTATCATGCTTTTATGTAACACATCTATAACTGAACATGTTCAGTGTTGTACTTTGTGTGCTATAGTAACAATGAAAGCCTAATATGGTGAAAACAGGTTAACTAGTCCTCTCTTAATATAAGTACTTGGTTGTGTTAGTTGCAATTATGGCTGTCAGTGAAGCAACTACGAGTATTTCCTCTCCCCTCTAACAGACATACAGGCATACAAATCTGGATGGGACGCTAGTCCTTTGTAGGGTTAGCCCACAGTATTAAAATTGTGGATGCCCCTTTCAAACACCTAAGTGGTGAGAGGCTTTGTGAGAATGAAGTATTGTGCCCAAGGACACAGCACAATGACCCACAAGGGTTCACACAACCTGCAGTCCAGCACACCAACCGCTAGACTGTAAAGCGTGAAGCATAAGTGTTCAATTACAAGCTCAACCTGTTGCTTACATTAGGCTTTTTCCTGTGTATTTGTACACTATAGTTAGCTGAGCTGAATTATGTGCATAACTAGAGTTTAATTTGAAAAAAAAGGCTGAAAAAAAATTGAAAATAAGATCTATAAGTATTTAAAATATGATTGTATTTACTAGGTCTTTTGGTGTGGGCTTGTGTACCTTGAGCTGAATTTATAAGGATCCCTTCACAAAGAGCATGGTATTTGCCACATGCTGTTGGGTTGAACCCAAATCCAACCAGAATAACAGCTCCAATGGCTCCATCAGATGACAGGTTTTCAACTGCTAAAGCACGTGGCTCAATCGATGTTTGTGTGTGACTGAAACTGCGGTTGCTCAAATTCATTTCTTCATTTAACAGTGTAATGGCTTGAATTCTTCCATCCACAATGCAAGCACTAGAAATGCAGATCAGGGCATGAGGAGGATTTGGTCTAGTTGTATCTTGATAGACACCCTTCCTTTGCGAAATCACAGCATTCGGAAATGCTTCCGCTAAACCACAATATGCCACTGCACAAGACTTGGCATTCTCATTTGAAAAGCATAGATGTGAAAGAACTTTATTCGTTTCCTGTTTACAAACAAAAAGACAAAAATAAACTTAAATTAACCGACATTGTGTATAGGCTCCTATAAACAGAAGGCTCATAATGTTTGGTCCGATTTAAAATGATTTACACCTCTTTAGTAAACCCCCAATAAGATAATATATGGTTTCTTTTCAAATTAATTTAAATTTGTTTTCTTTTCCTTAAAAAGGGAAGATCTCGTCTGGCAGAGAGGTTCCAGTCATTTTTTCTCTTAAGGTAGCCTAAAGTTGTCAGTCCAATAGGATGGTTCCAGAACCCCTTGAACCCTCACCTGGCTATGCCACTACAAGTTGCAAGAAACATTGCCTATCGTAGCAGTGCCTTAACAGTTACGTAGATTGTATGCTTTGCTTATTGTGGTGCCATAGCTGTTGCTGCCGACCACAAAAGTGATCTACTGGGAGCTCACAATACAAGCTTTTGAATGAGTATTCCTTTAAATGTCCCTTTCAAATAATTAAAGTTATGCAATGCAAATGCATTTTGTTGTGCTTATTACAGTGTAGTAAGATTGGTCTTGAATGAAGTGATGCCACTCAGTGGCATGATAGCTATGCAGTCATTGCCCCCCAAAATGATTAGCCCTCCCTCAAGTCAGTTAGGCCCCAAATAAAACTCAGTAGATAGTTCTTTCATTCATAAAAAAGTCCAGAACCCAGCAATTCAAAATGTTCATCCTTTGGGAAAGTCACAGGAAAAACAATCCAAGCAGAGTCAATTGATAAAAATCAATATCGGAATACAATTAAGATTCAATCAATATTAATTGCTGACTGCTATCTGCAATCGAACTCACAGAAAAGCTATTTTATTGACCGCTATCAATTGACAAAAATCACTAACAATTGATAGTTCCGGTCTTCAGGAATATCGATTGTTATCGATTGGAAAAAAATCAACAATAAAAATCTAGCCATTCGAGATCACTGCAGTTCTCCCTGAACTGGTAAGGCAAGATCACAATCGCATGCAATGAGAAGTACTTTAGGCCTGAGAGAGCAGTGGAAATTGAGCCTAGACCTATATGAGAAGCCAAAAAGATTACATGATATAAACAGCCTGGACAGTCCTGAAGATACGACAGTTGTAATTTTGAGAGATGTTTTGAAAGAAATGCAGGTCCTGTTTAACCTTCGCAACAAGAAAGCTGTACTTGTTTCCAAGTTAAAGTAGGAGAGAGCAAAAAACAATGAGACATCATAATTAAACTGTACGCAGGATTCCTCGTCTTCAAGTTCAAGTTTGGTAATACAAGAAGAACCGAATGACCAGGAGACTCAAGAAATCCTTAAAAATCTTGACATAGTGAATAGTTTGAAATATGCACCTCAACCCAAGCTTGAGATATGGCATAATAATTATTATAATGATTATTATCATTATCATCAACATTGTTGTTTTGATACAGTCAAGTCCCATCATTCACAGATCGAACCCTTGTTCTATAAGGATGAGAAACAGAAAACAGCTTCATCCTTTACATGTACTGTTCCTGGTCAATATTTACATGTATGGTGGCAAGTGATTATTACTATGCTGCTAGATTATATTTTCATTCTGGCCTATGTTGAGATATATTCTAAAGTTTGTTTCCTAATGCAAATAATTGCAATCACTAGAACACTGACTCTGTTGTTTATTTTGCTTGATCTAATTGCCAATGTTACAATGAGACTTGAGAGTTTAACACTGCTACTCAGGCCTGAGCTTCTTCTGGTGTAAGTTGTAAACTAGCAAAGAAAGATGTAAAGCCCAAAATGTTTCTGTTAGTTCTTTCTGTTCTTGATATTTTGCTGATAATCGTAAAAGATATACAGGCTTCATAAAGGGACAAAAATGTTTCCAAAATTTGATTGATATCAATAGTTATCGATTGACTACGCCTGGAATAATGCAAAAGAGGTCTTGGTGGTAAACGTTCTGGACCACCACAATGATAGGATCTTCAGTCTTTGTTTTAGATACATCCGTTTTATTAGGGAGCTTTAGATTGGACCATGAGTACGAGATTAAATACGAGTACGATTTTCGATTTTCAAATCAGTGACGTTCCCAGAGCCCTCGCTGTTCATGTTGGTTTTAAGTACAGAGAGTAGCTCATGGGATGAGATGGATATGTGATGTGATAATGTGAAGCCCGCATGCAAACTAGAATTGAAAACTCGTTCTCGTGCTTAAATCTTAAGTCCCCTATTGTGACGGTATCTGGCCACTTCGCTCATGGACTCCATATATACATGTAGTGAGATCATTCCTGCCAAAATCGGATCACTCCAAACTAGAAATGAGTGATTTCGCCCCATGTAAAAAGACATGCTCCTGTTTAGTGTTCATGTTATTAGTAGCTAACTTAGATCGGGTGCGGAAGTGACAAAGTGAGCTTATCTGTTCATTTGACGGACAGTATAATGACGTCTATAACTGTTGAAGCTATCGGCCTACCAAACCCCAACTGCTTCGAGAAAAACAACCGGGAATAGAAGCTTTAGTAAATGTGAACTGATCTAAGCTTTACCATCATCGACCACATTACAAAAAGTTCGCGCCAATGTGTCGCGCACGATCTCGGCACTCTGTAGCGATCTGACTTTTAGTTTGAGCGAACTGACGTAGAACGAAGTGAGTTCAAAGACAAATTTCACTTGTGGGCTAAAAACGACTTTAGGCTGCGGGCTAAAGGACTTCTGGTCTTTTGCCCAAATACGCTCCAACAAGCTATAAGTTAAGCTTATTATATAATTAAGACTTACCAACTTCTTTTCTGTGTTGCCTGAGTAATACCATTTTTCGGTAGGCTTACGGCACGAAATTATGGATCCAACTTCAATGGCTTTGTTTCTCAACTCCTCGTTTAACCAGATGTACCTTCCTTCTTTATTATGCAGTTGAAACGGGTGTCCTATAACACAAGCGTTTTCTACGTTTTGAAAATCCCAGACAATTTCCAAACAGAACACGAGCGCTGAGAAGCCCTGATCATGGGCCCTCGACATATCAAAAACTACGGCATGTCTTTCAAGAGTATTCAACTTTGGTAAAGACTGAAAAGATCCAGGATCTAGCATGGCGTTTCACAGAACTACCCCGCAGAAACGAGCGGAAAAACTACTGTCGCCTACGAGACCTATCGAAGCAAATACTGAATACAATGCTACATCACGAGAACGCTATGAACGCTATGTTTGAAACATTCGCGCCGCTCCAACATGACCATGTAAGGAGTCATAGAAGATCCTTTGAAGTGTACGTCACAAAATTTAACCAATCAGGCAAAGCTCCCTGGCTCGCTCGCTCGCTC